ATATGATCATAAAACTTCACAAAAACCTTTAATGCACCTTGTGGTTTACAGAAAAAGTATCTAAACATCTTCTTAGAACATTAATCATTGTCTATAATTATTCTCTTCCTGCATTTACAAATTTACCCACCATTACACCTCTCCATGTGCTTCGTACATACCAACCTCTATGTTGTGGCCCAAAAATGCAATAATATTTCTGAATCTTCACCTATATTATTTTCTATATGTAAAATGGACATCATAACACAATTTCTCCTGTTGAAAATATCCTTTAAGTTCATGTTCAAACACTACTTTACTAAGAAATCTCTTCCATCCTTCCACAGATACTGCTCCATTAGTATCTGCATCTTATCTCTTTATTTTCTGGACACTCAAAATGTTATATCGGCCCTCTATTATGTCACCTAACAGTATATTTAGTTGTGTTTCTGAGTGTCTCCCTTACAATATTGTGGGATTGGTGCAGGCAGTGCCTGCCTCTTATATTTTTTTAAACCTGATTAGTATCTAGCACAATATCAAGTATCTAAGTGCTTTTAAGCTTACTATTGAAACAATGATTAATTGCATAACGAATGAACCATAGATCCTCAATAAATATTACTATCAAGTAGTAAAATTCTATAGCAAATGCTTCAATAAAACCTTCTGATGCTTATTATAAGATCAAAATGAATGAACCGTAGATCCTCAATAAATATTACTACCAAGTAGTAAAATTCTATAGCAAATGCTTCAATAAAACCTTCTGATGCTTATTATAAGATCAAGTGAAGAATTTTAACTTTCAAAGCAATATATTGTATGATTAAGGAAAAAATAATTTCAAGATGACAGATTTTCTTAGTTATGAGCCAGAATAGCAAATGAGTTCTTGCCATTGAAAAGGATATGTTACTTTTGACTATGATATCTGTTGGCTCATTATCATATTATCTTTCATAACCAAAGGAGAAAAGACAAATCAAAATGCTTGCCCAAGGCATAATGATGAATGCTGTAGGCTTATTTACCTCTACTTGTGGACAAAATATGTTTCTAGCAGAGAACCAAGAGGGAAATTTCCTCAGAGCATCATTCCATTTAGTATTTCACTTAGCTCTTGCACTCAGTAAAAACATATGTTCAAATGCTTAAGAAACAATCGCAAGAGCATAATGATATTTTATTTACTTAGGAACCTATGCTTTAAAATTACTACCTCATATCAATCTGATGCATTTTGGGGGGTGGTACTTGTTTCTACTTTTGCACGCAATTTTGCATGCAAAGGTCATAGGTATGTACTGTCACATTTCTGCTCCATGCGCCATCAAATTGTTTGGCACTCACTGAGGTTATTTACCTAGCAAATAACTAGAAATGCTAGTTTGACATTTAGTCATTCACAATCACTTTTTAAAAGAAGTATGCCATTTACATAATATTTTAATTTTGCCTTAAAATGAAGTGATAAATAACTTGGATCTAAATAAATTACTTACTTATGAATGTCCAAGGATTTCTGTTTCTTCTACTGTCAAGAAAGAGAATTTTGTTGATATTTATATATTAGCTTAGGCCTGAATATTATCCTGTTCAATTACATTAAAATAAAAGCTAAAGAAAGTAGAAGTGTCAAAGGCAACTTAGGTTGATCTTCTAGGGTAGGATTATGCCTAGAAGGACTTCTGACCAGAAATAATTCAAATAACCCAAACACCCAATTTATTAATTAAAATCCTCTTAAGTTAAACTCCAGAAATGTAAAGTAAGTGCCTAAAGCTTTGGTTGGGCCAGACATGTGGCGGTGAATAAAATAAAAAATTGAAGTAAACTTTGCAAAAACAGACATGCGACATCATCCCTTCCGTGTATCTCAGAAACAGGCTGTGGTGAGAATGCCATTGGACTCGCAACTACTCAGAACAATATTCAAACAGATAGATCAGTTGGAAACTCTTCATTACAGCATCTGTTCTGTGTTTATGACTACATATGCAGACTGCCGAACACCCACAGTACACCATAAATGTAGGAATTACACATCCAGAATAGTAATAAACTCATTGGGTGATGTGTTCTCTAGAGTTTTCATCCCCTTGCTTCAGTTGGCAAAACTCTGCCAGGTTTTTACTGTTGTAGAAAATATTAAATTGTTTGTGGCATTTGTAACTTTGGATACAAACTAGGAGAACATAAAATGGCAATAAAATAGGTAAAAACAAGAGCACCGAGATTATCGTTGTATTTTAAAATTACAGTCCCATACAGAGTTACAACAGAAGCAACAGCAGAATGAATGAGAGAACTGAGTAAACAAATGATTGCTTTCCATAGAAATTTAGCCCCATATATCCTCTGGGAGTCAGCTCATTTGCACGGTGCACCTTGGAGAAGCTACAAAGTATACTAAGAAAGCTGAATGTTATAATTATTAATTAAATATATACTTTTTATAATAATCTAATGATAAATTACAGCTAACAGTTAAACAATTTACTGATGGAACCAGCACTTCTTAAACAATCAAGCCAGAGCCGGCCCTGTGGCTCACTCGGGAGAGTGCGGTGCTGGTAGCTCCAAAGCCACAGGTTCGGATCCTATATAGGGATGGCGGGTGCGCTCACTGGCTGAGCGTGGTGCAGACAACACCAAGCCAAGGGTTACGATCCCCTTACTAGTCAAAAAAGGGGAAAAAAAAGAAAACCATCAAGCCAGTTAATTTAGACCAAGCTGACTTTTCTTTCAAAAGCAAGATCCCAAATGAAATTAATTTCTAAATTCACAATAGTGAAGGGAACGTTTTCAGATTATAAGGGAATCACTTCCATCTGGGAGACCGTGATCTCTTGTAGCAATTCCTGGCTGCTAGAGAATGCTAAACATTGTTAAGGTAACATTCGATAGCTCCATCTCATCCCAGCAGCGAGCACTGAATGCTACTGATTAGTCACGGTTCTCTTGGACAAGTGTCCACATCTGCCGGTACATAGAATCACTAGGAGGGCTTTCAAAAATGCATATTTCTTTGCACCAACACAAGGTATATTGATTATATAAGATTTCTCTTTTCATTAAGCGGTTAGAAGGACAGCTTTCAGGAATGACTCATGACCAAAAATCACATGCAAGTTTCTAAAGAACTATAATAAAGGCAGAAAAATTAGAAACATGGAGCTGGGTAATGATGGATGGTATAATGGAACCCTCATAAAATCATATGTGATGCAATGAGGGGAAACTCAATCCCTACAAACATTCCAATTTAAATAGTATCTTCTTTCTTTCCATTTTGTTCCCTCTTACTCCTTCCCTCTTAATGAAAATTGTTATAATGCCATTTTACATCTGGACACTGTGGCTAATGTTCTTTTTTTTTTTTCCTCATTTCATGACACTATTGTTTTGCTTTCATGCTTGCTGATGACTCTGCCAGGAAGTTGATAGTGAGGGCATGCTGGCCTGGCTAGCTTGAATATCATGGCAAGGAGACAAAATGACTAAGCAACTTTTATGATCAGAATCTTATGATCAACTTGAAATTGATATAGCAAGAAATAGGCATAAATTATTGTCTTCATCCTAATTTTGATAAATCTTAGGGATGTCTTTACTTGAAATAATAATTTCATGGATTTCAAAGATATGTTTTCCTAAAGTCACCTTCATCAGATTCTCAAATTATATGATTTCTGTAAAAGGTGCCTGTGTTGCTGCTTGACAAATAAAGATCGAAAAAAAAACAATTTTAAGACATGTAAATTTTTTGACACGTTAAGATAATAAATTCTATACCATTAAGATCTAGGCAAAGAATGGCTAAGTGGAATTACATTTAAAAGTCACACTAATTCATAGTGGCTAATTCCTCATCTATAAAATGGGGAAAAATAACGTTCACCACCACTCCCCGTTACCTTGCTGACTGGTTCACATGGATGGAATAGTTATAAAATGATGCATATGTTATAATAATTACTATTAAAATTCTTCATTTTAAAAGAATTATTTCCAAGAGTAAAATTAATACTGCTAATGAGGAAAATTGCTTAATTTTTGGATAATTCAATTACCTTAAGAACTTAAAGCATCCATGTCATGTTTTAAATTGTAAATGTTACATGAATTTGTTTTCATGGGTGTCAGAAAGAGATGACCCATGCAAATTTTATCAGATGTTTCTTCTCAAAACAAAGTCAGGAAAAAGATAGGAATGTATTTATTACAAAAATTACTCAGAAGAATTATCAGAATAGGAATCATCTGGACTTTGATGCTCACCGACTCTCAAGTTTCGGCTCATCACCTTTATCTGATTCCTTATTTCTTTTGGTGCTTTGTGAGTGAGAAACAATTCTCATCATGATCTTGCAGTAGAGAGACGGCCCAATTTATGTGCAGCGTTGTGGAATATCTTTATTACAGTATACATTAAAGTTCAATAAGTAGGAGAAATATGATAAGATAGTTGCGTAAGGGATCTTATTTCAGGACAGACATGGTGCTTAGTTGCAATCAAATTTGAAATGGCAATTTCCCCACGTGCTTAGTTTCCTTCCCCTCCACCCCAGATTGGTTCCAGAATGATATAAATAAATCAGAAGCTGTCTTCAACCATTGCCTAAACTAGAAATTAGAACTCGTGTTTGGATCTCCAACCTAGACCCCAGAGGTGTTTTGATGCCCCATGGAGGGAGGACCCATGTGAAAGGAAAACGTTACAGCAGAGCTGAAGCTTCAGCCTCTAGGCAGAAATGAGGATCTGCTCAGCAGCTTGTTGCTTCAGGCTCCTTGCTCTTTCAAACAAATGAAAACAAAGAGGACTTTACTTCTGCATTCCCACTGCAACAGAACTTGAGATTTGAAAAGGAAGAAAAGAAAAGAAAGAGAGACATACAGACAGACATGGAGGAAATGGAGGAACACACTTTAGACAAATAGAAGAAAATGGGAAAGAGAGAGAGAGAGAAAGAGAAGAGACAAGAGAGACCAACCCAGTTCAGATCACTCACTTGGCATTCCCTGCTCCTGGCTTCTTTCTTCGGAAAATGTTGAGGAAGGTGTTGGAGCGGCAGGGTAGTTTGCCATCGCCAACATGCATGCGGACTACATCGGAGGTGGTGAAGGCACTGCGGACATTCCTCTCAGGCTTGGCAATAATGATGTACATCTTGGGAGTGAACATGCACCCCAGGGCCACTGTTACACTGAGGCTCACTGCAAAGCAGGTAGTGATGATCTTGTAGTTGCTCCCAAAGTAAATGGGCACAAAAGCTAGCCAGATGATGCAGGTGGTATACATGGTAAAGGCAATATATTTGGCCTCATTGAAGTTGGCGGGCACGTTGCGGGTCTTGAAGGCATAGTAGGTACAGCTCATGATGAGGAGTCCATTGTAGCCTACAGGGGCCACCACACCCAGGTTGCTGGTGTTGCAAATAAGGTAGACTTCCTTGATACTTGGGTAGGACAGAATGGGCATGGGGGGCTCCATGATAATCAGAGTGACCACGAGGGTCAGCTGCACACTAATCAGAATTGAGGCAATAATTACCTGGGCCCAGGCACTCATGAACCTGGGCTTCCGGGTGCAGATCTTCTTCTTGCTGCCAGCCAGGATGCGTGCAATGCGATTGGTTTTGGTCACTAAAGCAGAGTAGCACATGGCAGAGGAGAGGCCAACTAGGAGGCGCTGGAGGTAGCAGGACGTGGTAGTAGGTTTGGCAATAAGAGTAAAAGGGCACACATAACCAAGGAAGATGCCAGCTAGGATGATGTAGCAGAGCTCCCGACTGGAAGATTTGACCACCGGTGTGTCCCGGTACAGCACAAAAATGAGGGTGACAAATAAGGTAACAAGGATGCCCAGGCAAGAAAAGGCGATGGCTATGATTGACTCTATGTTGCTCCATTCAAGATAGCGCACAGGAATGGGTTCACAGCCTGTGATGAGAAAAATCATCTTAACGTGATTCCAAGATTTCTGCTGAGCAATAGTAATAATACTTTCTAGCTACAGAGACACAGCTACATTTACATCCTTCATGATTTGTGTTATTTTATGCTTTAAAAAATGCCTCACTATTATACACATAGACATACACCATTGTTTTTCCTGGACAATTGTGTCCCCAAACCTAATCTCATTACAAGCTTAATGTATCATACTTGAACTTATAAACTTATCTTTTTTTTTTTTCAACACCAGCATTATAAGTGGATGCCTCTGTGGATGGAACTCAGTTCTCCACTTTCAGAAAAAGGTGGGAAAAAAGCAACAACTGTTTCCAGTGAAGGTTTAATAGTGATAACGTAATAGAATAAATTACTAATAAGTAGTAATAAGTTATGTAGTCATTGTTCATAGACAATTCCAGCTCATAGAAAAATATTTTTTGCCCAGCAGAGTATTTTAAACATAAATTAAATTTTAATTCTTTTGAAGCATCTGCATTCTCCTGTTTAGCACATAACTATACTACTCACCTTAAATCTCACCCCTTTAGTCATGCGCAATCTATATCTGGTATTTGAGGGCCTTTGAGTAAATAGCCTCTAACAGGCATACCAAAGAAGGAGGAAATCTCTCCTGGAAAGAAACCAGCATTGTTTTCCTAAATGCCTGGCTTATCTTTTCCCACTAGATGGAGAAAAAAATCTCTTTTTTCCCTGTATTTCAGAGTGAAAGAAAACTTTTTCAGGCTCTGAAGACCATCCCTTCCCAGGATTTTGTGTTTGGTTTGGACCAGTGTTTCCCAAACTGTGAAAATAAAAACATATCCACAAATTGAAGAAAAGATTCATTATTCTATAGCCATGGAAACAAGGAACTACTGGAAATTGTTTTAAACCTGTTAAGTTGATGGACAACAAGTTGCCTCTGTGAACATGGTTTTGCATGCCAACCAATCAGTGTCAGCCCTTGCTTCTGATAATTACCCAGTCAGGGACAGGCTCATTTCAGTCAATGAGTACCAACCAATTAACAGTCTCGCAAGAGTGATCACATTTCTACAGATGATGTCAACCAGCTCATGCTCTGAAAGTTTATCAACCACTAAACTCCATGCTTTCCAAAAACCCTGTATAAGATGAGCAGTCTTTTCTGCTCAGAAGTCTTTATTTTTTTACTAGCACAGCTCTCACTATAGTAAGCAATGCATTCAGATTTATAAAATTTCATTTCTTTAGTACACCATGTTTCATATTTCTAGAGATTTCACCATGATCATTTGAAAACCCTCATTTGGTAACTTGCCAGGAGACCCTCTCACCAGCAGGTTCACCCACCTGGCCCCTTGTGCCCAAACTCTGTCCTTTAGAAGTTCTACCATGGGAGTGGGTCTTAACAGTGTTCTAGCTTTGGCTGATTTTACTGAGCTCTTATTGCTGAATCTACTTAGTTATCCTAGGATTTGCAGTCCCATAGGTCTTTGTATAAGGTCATTAAACATAGGTCTTTCTGTAAGGTAATTGCACCTATATTTTTATATTAAGTAATGCAACCTTTTGGTTTTGAGGTACACTATTTGGTAATTAGACATAAGCTTTTTATAAAGTCAACAAACATTTTGCTTTAGAGATACTTATTCCCCTGATGCTTTCATTGCTTTTACTATTATTTACCTATATATACAAAATCTTGTTTCATGTTCTTTTTGGTTTTGTTTTGATTTGTCTTTCTTGTTGAACATGTGATGGTGTGGTCCATAGAGATGAGATGGAGGTTTAGGCCTGAGAGTGTCCAATCCAAGCTGGCCCTGAGTGATACTGTTTGGTGATTTGCTAAACTGATGAACAATTTGTAAAAAGTAATTGGTCACTCTTAGCCTCAGGTCTCTTAGAAAATCTTTAAAAGGGTACTTTCTGTGTTGTTAACTTGTGAAAGATCACTTTGATAATGACTGTGTGGTGCCTTCCTACACTTTGCTTGTTTTGGGAATCTAAGACAGCATTCACGAGCACACAGTCTTCAGTGAACTTCGTGGCCTCTCTTCCTTGTGGGTCAGGGATTTTTCTATGTCTAAGTCTCAACCTCTTCCTGGAAGAACTTCTGTTTCCTATATAAAGTCACACTTCAATCTTAAATCTTTCTGTTTTCCTGATAAAGGCTAAATAGATGATACATAGATGATACATAGAGATCTATAATAACAATGGCCATTATAAAAACTTTGCGATGACAAAATTAATAAATTAAAATATATAAGAAGAGCTCTAAACAAATTAGGAGGTAAAATACCAAATAGTCAATAATTAGCTCTAATCAGCATACTGAGGCTGCAAAAAAGTTCAAATACAAATGCGATTATTGTCAAAGCCTTCATAACCTTCTGAAAGCTATCCTCTTGGCATTTCTCTCTTTTTCTATGCAACTTTAGCTGCCTAAATGCGCTATTCTGTCCTCTGATTTTTCACTAGGAAAAAAAAAAAACCCAATTTTAAAATTTCTAGAACATAACTTACTTAGATTTATAATATTTGAATTAAAATTCTGGTTTAGAGCCAAATGAGGAGCTGTAATTAATGATTTCCATAAACTTCAGGGATACAGAGCAAACTATGTGCTATAGAATTCAGGATTTTTATTACTCATTGTCTGCCCTACAAATGTGTCCCAATTAATTTAATTAATTGCTAGCCTCTCATGGAGGAAAATGTTTAAGAGCAGCAAAGTAGAAAAGAGAAGATTTAAATAACTCAGCAGTGTACTATTTCAAAAGTAAAAATAGAAAATGTATTACATAAGGCATTTCAGAAAGCTTTTCTTTTAATAAGTATTCAAAGTTATAAACTAGAGATAAAAGATAAACTTGAGGCAACTTTTAAATAGTTATGAGATAGGTTCAATAACTATCATCAGAAGGACCATATCATTTCCTTCTGTAAATGGACTTAGACCTCCTGAATTAGTGGAATCAAACAGGAAAAAAAAGTTGAAATGTAAAATTACTAAAATATCTGATATGTGACTAGACATTTCAAGATAGTCTTAAAAAGTAAATAAGCTATAAATTGATATAATTATGAATGTTTAGGTAAACCAACTAAAATGGCATCTATTCTCTATGATTTGGAAGCTATAGATAAGAAAACATATAGCTACTGCAAGCAGAAATGTCATTTAAAGAACATTGGCTAAAACTCAGAAGAACAACTACCTAAGATGTGTCTAATAACTCCAGGGGAGACACTGACACCCAAGAATTCCCCATTCATCCCCTGAATTCCCAAAGCAAGCAATATCTCTTCTTTTATTGATATGAGTGCCTGATTTCTACCAATAATTGCACTACTAATAGAACATCAGATATGTTGGTTTAATAAAACCACTCAAATAGTGAAAAAAATCCCATGTCTCAACCTAAAACTGGCACTTAGAGATTATTATTAGAAAAATGCTTCTTTATTTTCTGTGATAAAAAACTCACAAATTTAATAGGTAGGATCTACTTCAAGATAAGATACACTACAGTTTCCACACACGATCAGACTATAGCTGTTCTAACCATTAAATACCTACACTATGTATAATTCAATAAATCATCCAAGAAACAGCTCTTGTCCCAGAATCCCTATGAAGAAAAGACTCCACAGAAATAGGAAGATGAATTAGAACAGAGCACATAAGTGTACAGATCATCATCAGTACCTAGATTCCTTTGAATCTTTCTTTTTGTATAAGTGTGAAAAGGCTACGCTATCCTGTAGGTGAACTAACTAACAACTGGCATTGATCAAAGAACCATTGTCCATGGTGGTGGGCAGCTTCTAAGACGGTCACCAATGACTCCCTCCTACTGGTATATATGCTCTATTGTAATGCCCTCCTCTTGAGTATAAACAGGGCCTGTGACTTGCTTCTAGTCCATAGAATATAGCAAAGTTGATGGGATGTCACTTCAAAGATTGTTACATAAGGTAATACTTTCCATCTTATTAGCAAACTCTCTCTTGCTGGCTCTGATGAAGCAACACGCCATGCTACTGAGATCCCACATGACAAAGAACTAAGGGCAGTCTCCCCCAACCAAATGCAAAGTACTGAGGACCTCAGTCCATCAACATTTGAGGATTATATCCTGCCAACCACCACATAAGTGAGTTTGGAAGTGTACCTTTCCCCCAACAAGCCTTCAGATTAGACCCCATCTCTAGCCTTATGAAAGATCATAAAGCAGAGGACCCAATTAAACTGTGCCCGTGTTCCTGACTCCCAGAAACTGTGAGATAATAAATGTGTGTTGATTTAAGCTACTAAATTTTGGGGTAATTAGGTATACATCAACAGATAACTAATTCACCCATTAAACTCAACCCCTTAATTCAATAGCGAATGTTTAGTCACCTTGCCTAGGGCAATTGCAGACACAAACTAAGTAGTAAAACACATTTAGGTCTTGTACTGTATGTAATAAACCCCTAACAGAAACTGCCCAACATCATCTACTAGTTAATTAACTAATTATAAATTATTACTACTTCTCCTTTCCATACTACTGTCCATTGATGTAATACTCATAATACAACTTTGTAAAACTTAATCAATGAAGGTGAATATAAGGATTGTGTTTATGCCATTCAAGAAATGTACCTGCTCAAAACAGAATTTTGAACATCTCAATACTAAATCTTGACTTAATATTATTTTACTATGGGTCCTATACTAAAAATGAACAGGCAAACTACTAGGCTTGATATACAATATGCAGTCAGTCAGTATTATATATCTAATACTTTACATCAATCTAAATTTTCCTAATGACTGAATTGTGCCTCCTCTATGGCATACTAAATTGCTAAAAAAAAGAAGCGGATGCATAAACTAATATCTGGCATGCTTCCAGAATAATTCACTTATTTAATATGATATAAAAAAATGTTTAAAGTCTTTAGATACTCTTTGAAAGCAAACAATAAAATTAATTACTTGATGTCTTAATGTTACCTAAAATAATTGCTTTCATAAAGGCTGAGACTTAGTACAAGAGGTACTGTAGAAAGCATAAATAC